GATAGGAACAACATATTTTCATAATTTTGGGTGTGTAGGTAGCTGGGAGAGAGATGTACATGATTAAATGCAAATTATGCAAATGAGGACTTAATTTGCATAATTAATGAGGAAATTCTATTATTGCAGTGTTTTACATTATACTACTTTCATGCATGTAATGTATGCAACCTATGGCAGGCAGAACATCAACAGATACTAATTATGCAAATATGACATAATTTGCATAATTAATGCAAAAAATCTATGATTTCTTAATGGTGAATAATGGGAATGTCATACTTGGGACATCTGTAAGTTAATCAAAAGTTAACATACATCATGATGCATATATCATGCTAATGCGGAGGTAATTTGCATAATTAAAGAGGAAATTTATATTTACATATCAAGCCCATATTTCATGGAGGTATGAAATCTCGGAATTCTTGTTTGAGTTGACTTGGCTAGATGATCAAGATTTTCTGCTGTTACTGAGACGTCTTTTTTCACTGACTTCCTTCTTTCGTATAAGGCACAGTAAGAGAGAACATCACATGATAGAAAATGAATAGATCAACTTGCTAAATTCTCTGAAGAATCAGACAATTCAGACAGTATCCGCTATCATTCTCAGTGACTGAGAAAGTCAGCGGATGCATAATAATATGAAAGTGTTATGAAGTCATCTGACCTCATTGTTGATAATCCAATAATAAACCGATTCATTCTTATCAGTTCTGACCATGCCTTGTAATAAGGATTTAACCATTAGTTTCTGCTTTGTTCTGTTGCAGCACACTGCCCTTTTGGCTGCGGAAACGGAGTGTGCATTGCGCCCTACACTTGCCGCTGTCCCGCGGGACCCCATCAAGGCTACCATATCAGCTGCCAGGATGATGTAGAAAATACCCTCAGGCCAGGTAAATATAGTCCAGAAAATCTCCTACCAAGGGCCAGGGCAGTCAGGATGTGTCACATATGGCTTGAATGCAGATTTCGAAGTTGTCTACAGTGGTTTCAAACCATAGAGATGTTTTTAGAATTTTTATTGGCAAAACCATCTGACATACTTTCAATGGACCCTAGGACAGAAACCTTGCAGACTGAGAGCTTATTGTCATGCTTGTTACGAGTCTTAAGTGGGTATATACCCACAATAAACTGTGTGGGTGGACTCCATTCCCCCCAGCCTGCAGGGAGACTATTTCAACTGCCAACTTGACCTTCAGGTCAATCTATAGTTACAACCCCCTTCCTGCCACTCTAGTGTATCCAAATATACCTACAAACAGACGAGCGCCTGGAGGTAAAAACAAGTACATTGTAAATAGTATCAGGACAGTAGGAGTCTGCTCTGTGACCCAGGGGGGAAGCCTGTAACTGACTGGAGTAGGAGGAAGTCTGGCGGAGATAGCATCAAACATCACACACACACCATACTGTAAATCGTGAAGCTCTCATGGTGGTTTTATTTTCGCAGTGTCCTTTCTGCTCAGAATTCACGACACTGGGAATATGTAAATATATGGAAAATCCTTGTACAGCCTACTTTACAACAAAATTGTTTCAAACTTAAAAAACACTGAAAACCTCCTTTTCCTAACATACTACTTCGAAATGAAACCACAGTGAAAGTATCACGATTTACAGTACTAACTATTATATCAGACAACCCAGGGTTTGAAACATCAAACACACCAATATATAAATGGCGACAGGCAGGGATTTCTTGTCTGGTCAACAACTAGGTTGAATTATAACACTGTAAAAAGTAACATGTACTTGGCAATGTATTATTGAAAGCTGAAAGTGCCATTGAAAGTATGGCAGGAATGAAAGTTTCATATGGTGCTAATGAGGATGTCTCTCGGTAGGTGGCATCGTTAATTAGGGACTGAAGGACTGCTCTAATGAATGTGAACAGGCAACAGAGACACAGACCATGTCACATCCCATCATTGTCAACTTGTGAACTTGTACCGAGTGTACTGACAAAAAACTTTTTGGGGTTGTTGCAATGCTAGAAGGTGCTGCTCACATTTGCCGCATAGACTCTAAAACAGACCTTTAAACCATCTGTCGGTAGTTAGAAGTTCTTGCCAACCAGTATCTTTTGGCATTTCCAGAACTTAAACAATGCCATAGTGCCAGCGCAGGGCTGTGACCATTAATTGGTACCGGTCTCCATAGTACAATGTAAATTCTGGAAAATTATCTATATTCAGTTAATATCTGGTATACCTGGTAGTATACAATGTACCTCGTAGATTAGGTGTAAAGTCACACGTGCAAATGGTGAAAATTTTTACCAATTTGGATTTGGAATAAGTAGGTCTCCTCTGTTTTCCCTGGCACTTATCCCCCGTAGAACTACATCCCTCAACTCCTAAAGTGGTCTAGTGCTGAGGGGTTATACGGGTTCAGCAGAACTTTTATTTCCAGGTGCTCAGTGGTGTTGTAGCATCCCCAATGACCCTGTAGTTGGCTTCAAATGCATGCTTGACTTGGGACTTGGCTCTATCTACAAGTACCCTGGCTGGCTCCTGGCCAGGTATAACATGAGAAACAAGGTGGCATAGTTATGTATGAGCTTGTGGAAACTCTGTCCAGTTCAACAATCCAGTTCAACTTCACCAGTTTAACTTACTGTAAATTCATTTACTTTTGCAGTGTCTTTATTTCGCAGTACCAGTAGGATAGAAATTAATGGAGGTTTTGCAGTAGTACAAGGGAGACATTTGCAGTGTATTTGAATTTGTGGTGGAGAGGTTGCAGTTGAGAGGTAACTAACCACAAAAACACCCGTGAACCATGCCAATTCAATTTTCGAAATCAACCAGGTCATGGACATAAAAGAAAAATGTAATGTAATATAGACTATGATGTAGATAATAATTAGTCCAGTAACTATGGAAATGTCAGACTTAATTTGCATATATATAATATTATACATTCTCACATTAAATTTCTCAGATTGAAACTACTTGTGTTTATCTTTGCCAAGAAGGATATGATTGTATTATGCTGTTTAATATAACATTTCAAATTAAATAGTTCTTTGCTCAGTCTTGAGCCTAGTGTGTTTTTCCTATGTGAGAAAACTAAGCCTTCTGTGAGTCACAGGTTGATGCTTTACCTGTATAGCACCACTGGGCTCACCCCAGACCGTTGGCAAATTGTTACCACATGGCCCTTCAACATCAGGTATTACAGTTGAACATTGGGTGAGGAGGTTATCTACAAGGCCAAAACAGACCGGGACAAAAAAGTATGTATACGGCAGAGCTAACAAGAGTAACTCTGAACAGATTTTGCCTGTACTGTGTGAATTATGATGCATCATATGTCATGTCTGTTCTTTGGCTTTTCAATTATAACAGTCATTCTCTTATAACAGTCATTCTCTGATGACAGTTCTTGTTTGATAGCAATTTCGTTGTAGTTACTGTAGTTTACAGCAAATTTATAAAGCTAAGAATATGCATATCCAATGTGTTAAGTGACTATAACAGTACTACAGAACTGTAAATGTAAAAACCTGTGAAGAGATTTTTCCCACGATATATAACCACCTTAAAAGTTGAATTTACAGTTAACATGTGGATGTAGAATTTAGCTGACTGGGCTAGATTTATTACAGTCAGGAGTTCAGACACTGAAATGAAATGACCAGCTGATCCCTTTATCCACAAGATTCAGGCACAGGATAACAGTTTATTGTACATGGATCCCAAAATGCGTAAAAAGCCTATTAAAGCTATTAAGAACTAGAGTTCTGGGAACACATCACTTTGCCAAGTAAAGGCGTTTATTATGAAAAGTGCTACTATAACATCCACACCATCTCAGGGGACACATACTGTTTTTTCGTTGATATGGTTGTAGGCAGTTACACACAACACCATATATTAATTACAAATTCACCTTCCATGAGCTGAGAGGGTGCAAAAATAGCAATACATGTATTTCCAGATTTGCTACCACAAAAATGCTACTGGGAAACCTCACCCACTGGCCTCCCTATCTTTGCTTCCCATACCCATCCACGTAATATCATGCAGTCAATTGCGTCAATCCAAGAGTTGATCATGTCAATCCATGTGTCGATCAGGATCCACGCCGGATCAACCAGTGTTCAACCAGTGCTGATTCTGTAATTGCAAATTGACAGGAAGGTCCACTTAGATCTCTACACAGCTACTGTGCCCTTTGGGCTTGTCACAGCAAGTTAGGTTTGTGCACTTCTGGTCTCTCAGCCTTCAAAGTTTCTGTACCAGGCTATTGTAGTATGTCAAACCATCTCTTCATGGTGTGAAGTAACGTTACATAATGTAGATGTTGTGTTGTTCATTGCACTGTTCAGCTTTTGCATTGTCTTGTTTCAGATGTTTATTCAGTCCAGGAAGGTCTTCCTCCTCTACCAGTAGATCTATCAAAAGGTATGTGGTCCCATGGGTTTGTACTAAATGTAGTCTTCTGAAACATTGGCTAAGAGCAGTCTGTGCATCTGGCAACAAAGCTGTGTTATTTCAAAGGCAGGTGAATTCCAGCCTGTCTGGTTTTTCAAGTGACCAAAAATTACACGCAGAACTAACAACTAGACCACCGCAAAAGTATGTAGTATGTCTGTAATGGATTTACAGTTACCCCCTCTGTCCATTTGCAGAGCATTCAACCCCATACAGAAGAATACGAGTTCTGAAGAGAATAACAATCAAGAAAAGGCCCAAAGTGCCTCCTCGGCAGGTGGACCAAGACTTCAATGCTGCGGCGTTAGTAGAACCCTATCCTGTTGCAAGAGAAGTGGTGGAGTCTACTGGTGGAGCACAAGATCCCCAGTATGTGGACAGAGGTATGGACACATTATACCTGATATCTTTACAATCATACAAAGTCACTTGGAATGTATGTAACCTCCATTAACATTTCTCTGCCAGGTTACATACATTGTATATTGATGTCCCTTTGAAAATCCTAGTGCAGTTAAGACGCATTTTTCCAGTCTGGATAGGACATGTGACTTGGTGGAATTATGTCAGATGCAATGTTTTTCTAAGTAAAGGTTAAAAGAGCTACAAAAGGAAAGTTTGAGGAATTGACTAATAAATTCATGTAGACTGTCACCCAGAAGAGAAGCAGCACAGTTTGGGCATCATGTTTCAGGTGAGCATGCGGTGGGTGCAGACAGATAACAGGATCAGTCTTGCGGTTATGCCCTTCATGAAGAGAGGCTAAGTAGGAAAAGGTGCCGTGCCTGAGGATGGTGCACTCCACTTGGAAGGTTCAGGATAGTTTCAAAATGTGTATTTTTGGGTAGGCAGAGTTTATTTTATGGTGGCAAGGTGGTCTTCTGGTCTTGAAGGGTCTTTGACTTAGAATCTGAAGGTTATCTGGGTTCACATCCCTGGCAGGCCCCAGTGTTGCCCTTCCCCTTTCCTCATGACTGAGTGAAAATGAGTACCTAGCTTAGGGTATGATTCAGGTTGTCCTCTCAGATGGGACAACCTAATGATATTTAAGTCTTGTTTTGAACTGGCGTACATTGTACAATATACTTTTAAAATTGTCCCATTCTGGATCATAGCATAGCACAGATTTACCTGTAAGATAGCCATGAGTCCCAGTTGAACTTCTAGAGGACCCAGCCTTGAGAGGGCAGAGCTGTTTCCAGTGAGTATAAATCCGAGCCTAATCTGCAGAACTGATTAGATTTCACAGTTCAGTCAACCTGTCCCACAAGTGATGTAACCTGTCCTTCAAGAGTGCCAAGGGTCAAGTGTTTTATCAAGGTCACAGTTAATCTGAACAGTATACCTGGTATTGTGCAGGTAGGTAAAACATATTGATGTAGATAAAACATGTAAAATTCAATATGACTGTGTACTACTGTAAGGTGTAAAACTTTTGTGGTGGTCTTATATTTTTTCAATTTTTGTGGTGACCTTTCCACCATGAATATATATCTTATATAGTATGACTACTGTACTACAGAATTGTATCAACTGCAAATTGAAAACACAGTGAGAAATCTTACCTGCGAATCTTACTGCGAAATGAAACCAACACCAAAGTTTCTACATGTACAGTGATGTCAGGAGGGTTAGTCTGTATCTAATCTCCTGAGGTTGAGCTATCACCAGTGAGAACCACTTCAGGCAGTCTTCAGCATTATAAGGAAATGACACTTGACCTTGACCTCGTAATTGGTCTGGGTCGTCCCCAGCAGGCTTCCCACCAGGTTGGGTTACAAGTGGTTCAATACTGACCAATTTGTGGATGAGGTTTAGATGGTTTACAGGTGCAGAAATGAGAACTGGACATACCCTGGAGTGGTACCTCTTTGACATTGACTTTGGCACAGTGCCTATGCATGGTGGGTGGAACATTTAGGGGCCACACTTCCATTCATGGCGTACTATAAATCTTGAAACTTTGTGGTTGTTATATCTTTGGGGTTCCATTAAAATTCAAATCATAGCAAACCACCTCCCTTTCCCTCCAACCACAAAGTAAAACCAATGAATTTACTGTACAGTCACTCACAGTATAAATTTGAAGGAGGTTATTACATTTATATGTTGGACGAATAAAAGACATGGTGGATTGTGCATTTAAGAGGTTCTTACTTTGCATTGGCATTTGGTAACTGTAAATCACTTTGTTTGTGGTAGCAGAAGTTTGCGGTTTGAGAAAAATGGGTCGACGTGTTTGCATAACAGTACTATTTGTTCATTTTGGCGACAGTTGCAGAGAAAAGGAATTCCAACTAAAAACCACAAAAGGTCAGACACAGGAAGTTAGGTTAAGAGGTCCCAGAAGCTAGTCTGGGAGTTGGCTGGATACCAGAGAGAAATATAGACAGAGAAATTCACAATCATGAAGAAAACTGTCAGTAGTAAGAGATTCACGAAAAAAATCAAATTGTGCATGATATCTCCAATTAACAAAATTTTACATTAAGAACTCACTAAGTTTGAAGAAAGGCAAACCTGGTACAATATTGTATCTATATGGCACTGGAGGATATGTGTAATACATGCAGGTCCAGAACAAATAAGGCACAGATGGGACTTCTGGAGAAGGTTAAAGGTAGGTTGTGGGTCATGGATCTTTTCTTAGATCTTTTTCAGTGCCCTACAGTTCTAGAAAGGTTTGCTGCCCTACATTTTAGGAAGTATAAAGTTAGAGCAGTAAATATTAAGTTTATGTGTTACATGTACTATGATAATAACACATAAACTTACCGAGTCACTCCCTCACTCACTCCCTCCCTCCCTCCACTCACCCACTCACCCACTCACTCACTCACTCACTCACTCACTCACTCACTCACTCACTCACTCACTCACTCACTCACTCACTCACTCACTCACTCACTCACCTAAAAACTTTGATTGCATGGTGGGTGGGAGGTGATTTTCTCAGTTGATTGCTAGGGAGATCATGCCTGAAGGTGACCCAGCACACGCCAGCTGGTAGTAAGGGGGCAGTGTGTAGAGGAATTCAGGAAGTGGTATTTTGGGCCTGTAAATAAATTATTTCTGTGGTATCGGTACGCAGCACTATCCCAGACATAACATGTTCAAGACACACAGGATGTCTAACACCTTAATCAGCCCTGCCTGGCCCACACCCGCTAAACCACAACAAGGTGGGCTGATATGACCATATCTGACAGCTGCTCAGGGGTGACGTATGCCTGGTTCAGTTGTGTATACAGTCTAAGAAATGCAGGTCAAATATTTGTAATGCTGGCTTCAGGAGGGCCCATGGTAACGGGATATGAGAGCATGACAGGTGCATTTGGAGTTAAATGTTTTCTGTGCTGTTTACTTTCTACCTTCACTGAGAGGTTATGTTTTGGGTTCAGGTTATTTGTGTACAGGGTAACTCAAGAAGTCATGGATGGCCTTTTTTTATGTTTAATGAGGGATGCCCTAACTTTTTCGGGTGCTTGAACTCATGGCTTGAACTCATGGTTAGCCTTTGGTGAGTGAAACCTTTCACTGGATAGCTGCAGAGTGTCTTGTGTAGAGGACAAATGACACTTGGTAGCTATAATAGGTTTGGATATCGGGCTATGAACTTTTAATATAAGAAAACAAAAACTGAGAAATTCATCAATGCTGTTCATGAAGTGACTATAATTATAGTAATGTTGGACTAGTATATAATGATCTAAAGTCCGTCTGGTAAACTGACATGTCAGTGTGACAATGGTTAAATTCTTTCCAACTACAGGACATGTATCAACACTATGCAGTGGTTATGGCTGTGGACAGCCAACGCTTTGTGTTACCTATGGAGGATGTCAGCCTGGACAGCCCACTCAGCGACAGCCAACCAGCTGCGCCACTGCTGGCTGTGAACAGCAGTGTCAGCTGGTCAATGGCCAGCCCATCTGCACCTGTTACCATGGATACACGTTGAAGGAGGATGGCAGATATTGCGCAGGTCAGCAGAATCTTCCATTGACACCTTCCATAACAGTGGTACAGCTCATGCTGTTTGATGGGTACAGCACCCTGTAGGTGCACACATCATATCAACATCTATTCAGTACTAAATACAACGCTGTCAGATCACATATCCTTGAAAATTTGCAAGATGTGTGTCCGGACAAAGTACTTGTAGGTTGATAGCACGTGGGTGGTGTAGTGGTTGAAATGCAGAATAACAGGACGTCAAAAGATCAGACCCAGGAAATGGGGTGAACTCGATTTCAAAATATCACCGACACAATTCAAACTTACAAATCAAATGTCCCTGCAGATGTGGACGAGTGCACGAGGTACGGGAACTCCTACAGACTATGTGAACAGGAGTGTCAGAACACTGTGGGCAGTTACTACTGCAGCTGTCAGCCCGGCTTCGTCCTCCAGCCCAACAGAAGAACCTGTGCTCCAGTACCAGGGATGACTGCTTCTGTTGTCATTGGAGGTCAGTGAGTCACAATTCTGACTCAATGTACAATCCTACCTCTCAGTAAGAACTTCATCACATGAATACCATTGACATGTAATGTTGTTACTTCTGAGTATGGAGGTGCTGTTTTGTGCTGGGTGGCTGACGTTCAATTAAATTGTATCCAGCTATAGTCATGATGTACAGTTCCGTATCTGTATTGGTATAGCCAGTAACTGCCCTTCGGCGTAGCACGCCAGCTTTGCAGGCACGCAGTGCAGTTGACAATGTAGTATGTTATTTTTTTCCTAATGGAACAGGAAATTGCATCAGTGGTTGTCCAACTGGAGAGCAAATTTGTGGTGTTGGCTTCGAGCTTCAGCAGACACCGTATGGGGAGCAGTGTGTGGGTGAGGAACATGACCTACAATGTACCTTTTATAGTGATGTTCACAAACTGAGGGCATTCTTGGGACTGTCTAGTTACGGAAAAGGCTGCCTAATAGATTCTTGTTGGTAGTTCTGTCACCGCCTGTTTGAGAATTCCATGGCATCAAAGTTGTAGGAGGACCAATGATGAATGTGACCGTACTGTTACTAGTATAATTATTATAGTAATCCTATCTGGTGTTGATATAGACTGCATGTGCATATGGCTACTGATACAGCTATATGATGTTAACAAAAGAAGTGGCCTTCTCAGCCATCAGAGGTCCTGTCAGAGTGGAGAACCTTGAAGTTCAAAAAACCTTCGCTTGTGAAGACAAGTCAAAATGCAACAAACTTGAAATATAATAGAACGAAAATAAACTTGACATGGAAGGTCATGTAGGAAGACCATGAAGGAAAAAAGTGCAGTTTTTGGAAAAGGTACAGGATTTGGCCCTGAACCAGGGACCCTGGGATAATGTGTCACTGCACTACATGTGCAAGGTTAGAGACCTATTTCCGGAGGAACATTTTGCATTAGCAGGAAGGGTTGAAGAATCCATTCTTTCAGATCCAGATGGTGAGAAGGTCACAAAGGTTATCATTCTTGATAAGTCATGGACAAGCAGAAGTAGGTTGAAACTGACATGTACTTCAGTTTGCCAGAACTGGTGCAATAGCCTAGGGTTTGCCTTGCATTAGGGAAATAGTGGGATCAAACCCCAACTTTTAAAACCTAAAACTTTAAAAAAATAAATGATACTGTAACAGTATGCCTTGCCATTGACTTTGTTGTTTTTCCATAGAGATCGATGAATGTGCACAGTCTCACTGCAGCCAGGGGTGCAGGGATAGCGAGGGGGGGTTCACTTGTACCTGTCTGGAGGGCTTCAAGCTGGATGCAGACGGCACTAAATGTATCGGTGAGTTACCCCCTCTTCTACATCAGTACAGAGTTTTAATCAGCTCTTTTATTTATTTTATTGTGACAGTCATGAAAGCCCTGTAGAATGTGAAAGGTTCAAAGTGATCTGGAACCTGTTCAGCTCAAATGAACTCAATGAACAGTTGAGCTACTCAGATGTACTGAATTTCCTCTTTCATCCTGTCCCTGACACCCCAGCAGGTCCAGTGGAGATGCCTGTTGGGTGTTTATCAGATATTCCATCTAAGCTGTTTTTGTATGTTCCAGATGAGGATGAGTGTTCTCAGGACAACTGGCGCCCGTGTCACCAGATCTGCCAGAACACGTTGGGCAGTTTTCAGTGTTCCTGTCAGCATGGCTTCAGACTGCTTAATAACGGCAGGTCCTGCATGGGTAGGTGTTTTGTGTACTGTAAATCTTAAAAACATGGCGCTGGTCAAGACAGGTAGGTTCTTGCTCTTGCAGCCTGCAAGGACCATCTCTTTTGTTATACCAATAACTTTACAAAAACTCTATGATAATTCCAAGACGATTGAAACCTCTGATTTCTTGGTCTGATAAAAAGAAAGATAAAAATGATGATCATCATGTAGTGGGTAGAATCACAAGTCATGTTCCAGTTAACACATTCTCTGTTCCCATGTAATGTGATGTCATTAATCTACAATGTCAGTTGAAGTGATTGTGATGCTGACAGTGTGAGTTGTTTAGAAGCAAGATTGACACTGAAACAGATGATTAGAATAATATATATTTTGAAAATGTGTTGTCAGATATCAACGAGTGCACAGAGGGTCGTCCCAGGTGTCACCACCAGTGCCAGAACACCTACGGCAGCTACAAGTGCACCTGCAGACCAGGCTTCCGGCTGTTGGAGGATGGCAGCACCTGTGCAGGTATAAGGTCGATCCTTGCAGGTGTCATTCAGTACCACTGATATGGAAAAAGAGGAGGATTTTGAACATTAATGCAGATTGCTCTCATTAGTCTTAAGGTTAAGTTTGCAGACTGAATAATCTCTTTACAAGCTGGGAGGAAGTGAGGCCAGCAACAGTTGGCAATGTGATGACTCCTTTTTTCCAGACATAGATGAGTGTGCAGTGACTTCTGGGATCTGCCAGGGGGCGTGTGTAAACACCATTGGGTCCTACCAGTGTGCCTGTCCCCAGGGCTACAACATGGAAGGAGGGAGATGTGTTGGTTAGTAGATTTTATGAAGCTGAAAGTTTAGTTCTAGTGACAATGGTAGTCAGTATTGCCTGTAAACTGACATAAGGCCACAGTAAGTAAATTGATTTTTTGCCTGATTCTGATCAGGTTGATTCAGACCCGGAATGGTACATCTACATTTTATTTTGCAAATCAGAATGAAGTAAGCAACAGGTTATTCAATGGTTTTCAGTCAGTGTTCCTTTTCCCTGCTGCAGATATAGACGAGTGTCGGCAGCCTGACAGAGGTCGGTGTGAGCAGACATGCATGAACAACGTGGGCAGCTACTTCTGCTCCTGTAACCGGGGATTTGTTCTGACATCTGATGGTCGTGGGTGTGGAGGTAGGTTCTTCATCTTCAGAATCATCTGCATATAACCCTATCAGGTACAAACTTAGGAAGATGGGAGGCACTGAGGTAGGAAGGGCAAGTCTGCAGTCTGGCTCAAAATGATTCAGAGGAATGGTACAGGGAATAACTTGGTACAAAACATGTGACAGACTAGGACAGGCTTTGGCAGACAGGCTAAGGATACAGTTTCTTTGACCCAGTCAGGGTTCTGTACATATCTGATGTAGAAGAAACATCCATGAACTGCATATATTAGTTTCATTTTAGTGTAACTAGCTGTAATCTTCTAAAAATCAGACTGCAAGAAGAGATTTTTGATTCAGAAGTACATTTATTTGAAATCATCACCATCATTTACGAGCTGGTTACAGCATGTTCCATATTAAGCTAAAATTGACTAAATGGTGGTGCATGAATTTTTTTCACCTGTAGATTTTCAGATTTTTTTTACCTGCAAGGGCAGGCAGGGATTTTGAGCCATGTTCATGTTAAAAGTCACACTTTAACTTGCAGATATAGACGAGTGTGAGCTTTACGGGACCAGAGTCTGCCAGCAGGGCTGCACCAACACCTATGGCAGCTACACATGTCACTGTCCTGACGGCTACAAGCTGCATGAAAACGGACAGAACTGTGTGGGTGAGTCAACTCTATTGTAATTCTTGTTCCATGACTTTAAACTCTTCAGTGGAAAGTATGACCAGTATGGTGGCGTGGAATATGTATACCTCCGAGTATGGAGGTCTTGTTTTGGGTGCATTTGCTTGTGTGTGTTATTTGTACAGTTAAGTGACAGCACATGGGTGGGGGATTTCCTAACCACAGACCACAAAAAGGTCACAAGAAAAAAAACATGGCATTGATGATAAGCACAGGTCATAGCTTGACATAAATGTCAGTTATGGAAAAAAATGCACTGCATTATTTCAGATTGAAAGAATTTTCCCCCAAATTTGTCACTTCATTAAAACAGACATAGATGTTAAAGACTAAGTCTGACTGAACTACTAATCAAAAATGGACACAACTTGTGGAAGAAACAATTTTAAACAGGACAAATGTAATTGGGGCCTTGGACATCCAGCTTTCTGTCAACAGAGTTGTTTGTTGTGGTTTGCAGATGTTGATGAGTGCCAGGTCCACACCAGGATGTGCCACTACGAATGTCAGAACACGATGGGGTCCTTCACCTGCTCCTGCCCACCAGGCTACACACTGGGGAGTGATGGCAGGACATGTAACGGCAAGTACTGATATTTAGTTCTATAGACAGGCACTGAAGAGCATGAGACTTTGGTTTCTACATAACTGTTTTGACCATTGTCAGTATTGTCAGTTATGGATGGCACTTTAAGTACCAAGGACTACACTTTCAGTACCAAGGACTATACTTTCAGTACCAAGGACTACACTTTCAGTACCAAGGATTACACTTTCAGTACCAAGGACTGCACTTTCAGTACCAAGGACTACACTTTCAGTACCAAGGACTACACTTTCAGTACCAAAGATTACACTTTCAGTACCAGGACTCACCCTTGCACTTTCAGTGCTAAGCACTACTTCAGGGCAAGCATGTTGTTTTGGCCATATGTTCTACCCTGTACAATTGTTGTGCCATTAAGTTCATATATCATTATATGTTTCCTTGTGAGTCAAAAAGGAATGCCTTGTCTTACATTTGTACTGGATGGGTTTCAGATACGAATCAGGTTTTCAGGGCTTTGCACCTTCATTTTAACTGACACCACATGTATTGAAGATATCGCTCAGTAGGATATATTTACTGTATCTCTCATTTGACAGATATCAATGAGTGTGAACTTGGTGGAAATGGATGCCAACACAGCTGCCAGAACACCATAGGCAGCTACAAGTGTGTGTGCAGAGATGGCTACAGCATAGACCCCAACGGACAGTGTGCCGGTAAGGGTGTGGTCACATACATCATGAAAACCAAGGGCATCCTTGGGGCAGCTGTGCGTGTGTCCTGAAAGTTCAGCCTTGTAATGGGACAGACTACCTTACATTCTGCTATAGCCTGCTTGAAAACACTGTGATGTCAAAATCGTATGGCAACCTACAATGAATGTGACTCCAGTTAACAGCCAGCAGCTTAGTTAATTTCTTATACAAATAAGTTACTAGTTATACTAGCCTGGTTATCACATCTGTCTACATGTTAAATTAGGTGAGGGGACATTTTATTAATTTTTTATTCATTCACATATATATAACGAGTATCAGGCAAAAAGCACAATTGCTTATATAAAGCCTTCTACTCAAGAACATAAATATAAAATGAGTAAAACAGAATAAAGAATTGGTGACATTACAGTGATTGTTGTGTTTTCCAGATGAGAACGAGTGTGGAGCAGACAACCCTTGCTCCCACCAGTGTGTGAACACAGAAGGAGGGTTCCAGTGCCTGTGTCCCAGAGGTCTCAGTCTGCTACCTGATGGAAAGAGATGTGAAGGTCAGACTCTTTTGTGGTTTTGTTTTGAAAGTGTTTGCAGAGATTTTATAACTCTGCAAACATGTTTCCCTTGTATGTCATACTCTTGTACAAAGTTGTTTTGACTGCAAATATGAGACAGTTGATGATTAGTTTGCTGCAAAAAAGCTTCATGCAGTTCCTGGTGCAAATGCTTTGATAAATATTTTGCATCTTGTTTCAGCATTCTGTTTTCATGTATAGTGACAATGTTGTTTGCTGTTCTGTCAGATCGTGATGAATGTGCCCAGCCCAGCAGAGGTGGCTGTCATCACAGCTGTGTGAACACACATGGCAGTTACTACTGTGCCTGTAACCCTGGATACAGGCTCATGCCCGACAGGAGGAGGTGTCAAGGTTAGTAATAATGACACAGACCTGCCAGGATTGACATAACAGGTAAATCAAAAGGAAATGGGTGTAAAGTTCCTTTATCACAGGTACAACACTGGGGCCTGCTAGGAATTAGAACCCAGAACCTTGAGATTCAACAACCCTAACCACAAGACCACATGGCACCTACAAAATGTAACTTGCTGTACTTCTCTGCCCTACAGCCACAGACAGCGGTACTGGCTGCCCAGAAGTCTCCATCCCCTGCCCCATGCAATGTCCTCAAGGCTTCAGGCCAGACTCCACTGGAATCAACTGTGTAGGTGAGGTGACAGACTCTCTTCAGTCTTCATGCAAAGTCAATAAAATCAATATATCCCTACCTTGATGTATTCAGCATGCAAAGGTCTAACTTGGGGGCTGTGGGAAAATTTCCTTGGGGCATGTTGGCCCTGGAGCTGAAGAGCTGGCCTGTCTAGGCCCTGGAAAGTCTGGCATCCTGGCGACAGTTATCCTGGATTTATCCAAACTGTACTGTTTGTCTCCTTCTGACAGACATCGACGAGTGCCAAGTGCTCCAGACATGTGGTTACTGCAGCGGCTACAGGAAGTGCAGCCATACCTGTGTGAACACTGCCGGCAGCTTCTACTGCTCCTGCCCACCCAGCCTCACCCTGCACCCTGATGGACGCACCTGTGTACCAGGTTGAAAAAGTACTACCCACTTGTACAAGTGGCGCTAGCTGTGTGGGAACAATGTGGCTCAAAGGCTGCTTTCAACTATACTTTTAGATATTAAGTGGAACTAGCATTTCTGGTATCAAGTGCCAAGTGGAAAGCTTTCTGTCATTTTGGACTAATGATGTGTGATAGTCACAGGTCAAATTATTAAATGTAAGGGATGACATGCCCAAGGAAGAGTTATTGATGTACAGTTTGAAATTGAAGTGTTGGAAAGAAGATTTCATGACTTGTGAAAAAAAAGGAAACATTATTCCTTTTTGCATGGTGTGTTGCACAATCATGTCTGTGAATTGTGACTGATATAAGAAGATGATGTTGTATGAGTTGCGACAGTGATGTGTTCTCCCTCCAGTGTCGCCACAGCCCACCTGTGACAGGACGTGTTTGAACGGCGGGACCTGTCGTGTGTCGGGCGGCTGTTACACCAGCTGTGTCATCTCCTACTGCGAATGTCCTGACGGTTTCACTGGCCTGAACTGTGAGATAGGTAATACATTTGTAACTGCCAACATTGAATTTAAAGAGATCTACTTATGCAGCAAGTCAACATGCAGGCAAACACAAACAGATGTAAAGAAACCAAAAACAATTACCATCTTCATGAACTGAGTTAAAAAATCAATACAGTTTAGAGAAAACGCAGTGACAGCTCCCATTGATGCATAATGTTGTTAATATACTGAATCAGATATGATAATCTAAGTCTTTCTTGTATTAGGAGCTGGTGGGTGCAGCCCACCATGTGCAAATGGAGGCAGTTGTGTGGAGAAGGAGTGTGTGTGTCCACCTGGGCTCACAGGCAAAACATGTGCTATAGGTGAGATGACTAGCATTGGCTGTGTGCTTTCTACCAGTTTGTAACTTAAATAGAGTGGCTTCATAAAAACATACTTTTGAAAAGCTGTTTAAAATACAATGTGATATCTAATACAATTACCTGTAATCACAATGATTATGCAGTGTTTGCCCCTATACTTTTGCAAACCAGTGCTGTGGAAAACTGAAAATCTGTGAATGAGGTGAAGGCAAGATGAAAATGGTCTGACTTCCTTCGTTCTGCAGATATAAATGAATGCCAGACAAATGTGACTGAATGTGCCCATCGCTGTCAGAACACCTTCGGCAGCTTTCAGTGTCTCTGTCCTCCCGACTCCACTCTCAATGCAGATGGCAAGACATGCAAAGGTAAGCATGCTTAACTCACAGTTGAAAATACATGATAATGTATTAATGGTGAAAGAAAACATCACCTCAGCTGTGAAATGATTCACACCTCATTGACCAATGATCAGTTTTTGAGACTTGATTCTGTCTTGAACATTCTTTTTTCAGAGATTGGCTGTTTCCCAGCTTGTATGAGTGGAGGGAGTTGTGTGAACAACAAGTGTGTTTGTCCAACAGGACTGAATGGACCAACCTGTCAACAAGGTCAGATTTGTCTTCATATTACTTTTACCCTAAAATTCTGTAATTTGAATGTTGTCTGTTTCCTTGCTGCCAGTGTAGACTTAAGTTAGCCTACAACCATTTGATTTTACAGTACCTCATGTTGTTTTGTTTCACAGATGTGAACGAGTGCTTGGAGAAGAATGGCGGATGTGATGATATCTGTAGAAACACCTTTGGCAGCTACCACTGTTTCTGTAAACCAGGAACTACCCTCAACCCTGATGGCAAAACCTGCTCTGGTGAATATGAAAAATGGTGTTAACTGTCTGATCTAAACAGCTGAGTTAAATCAAAGTTTTAAGCTCCTGAATGATATAATGCAGATATGTCAGCAGACAAAGTCGATGAATCGATGAAGTCCAAGACTGTGATCTCTATAATCTATTTCCTGTCGCTCCCATCTCTGGTTATAACTGTACCACCTCTGAACTCTTTCCTATTTATCCTTAAATTTCCATTTCGTATAGATGGCGCCTGCCAGCCTGCTTGTGAAAATGGAGCCACCTGTGAGAATGGCATTTGCCAGTGTAAAGAAGGGTTCATGGGGCCTTCATGTGCCATTGGTGAGTACATAATGTACTACATGTAGTAGCTATAAGTGTGTCTTTCACAAATTGGACTAATCAATGATGTAAATTGGGCACAAAAAGTTGAATTTGGGATATTGTTTCAAATGGAAAGAATAAGTTTTCCAGCGATGTCAAACACAGTTAAGAGATACACAACGTGTATGACTGATCAAATTGAAATTTTCAAAATCTGACATTTTTGCATTTTTAACAAATGTTTCATGTTTTGCCCCAGATATTGATGAGTGTGGCCTTGAGATTGAGTCCTACAGAACATGTGACCAGGATTGTGTCAACACTGTTGGCAGCTACTACTGCACCTGTGTCTTCGGATACGAACTTCAGGAAGATGGAAGGTCTTGCAGAGGCAAGTTCTTCCAACCTTAGTGCAACGCTGCACTTCTTACTTCAGGGAACAGCAGTATTGTTTTGGGTGGCAGAGCTCTTGCTTTGTGTATCTGTTCATCCAGACTCCAGCAGGATACATGTGAAAATCCAGGAAGCAGAGAGTTGAATATTTCTTGGAAGTCTTGAAATATACAATAATTTTTACTCAAAACCTTTGAGTTGTTGTCATCTCTAGAGGGAAATGTATTATTCAGTAAGTGTACATATGTTGCATTTTGGTGTTTACTGTCTCTCTGGTTATTTTTCTTACTAGAGAGTGGCTGTGATCCTGCCTGTGAAAATGGAGGCAGCTGTCAGTTTGGGCAGTGTTTCTGTCTACCAGGCTACTCTGGACCCACCTGTAGTTCTGGTATGTCCCACCTGTCTCTCTGGTGTGCCACATCTGTAGTAATGTGACACCTGTCTCTCTGGTATGTCTCACCTGTAACTCTGCTCTATCCCATCTGTTTGAAGTATGACATTAATTTATTCTTGCTTCACAGAGGCACCCTGTGAGCCTACCTGTGAGAATGGAGGCACCTGTAAGGCAGGACAGTGTGTCTGTCCACCAGGCTACCTGGGACCCAGCTGTGCTATAGGTTTGTTTACTTTGCATACGGTTGTTGTATTTGTGAAAAATGTAAGGTCAAGAACACTTGCCTGTCATATTTTTCGGTCTTCCTAAATTCTGAGAGTCGTAGACTAGTAGAAACAAAACAAATATTTGTCATACAGCTAAAGGGATATCCTTCCTTTCCATATACAGTCCTAGTATTTCTATATTCATTCACAGTAGTGTCAGTGTGGTCATGTTCAGCATTAAGGATAGGGACAGTAGTGTTAGTGTGGGCATGTTCAGCACTGAGGACAGGGACAGTAGTGTTAGTGTGGGCATGTTCAGCACCAGGGACAGTAGTGTTAGTGTGGGCATGTTCAGCATTAAGGACAGGGACAGTAGTGTTAGTGTGAGCATGTTCAGCACCAAGGACAGGGACAGTAGTGTTAGTGTGGTCATGTTCAGCATTAAGGATAGGGACAGTAGTGTTAGTGTGGGCATGTTCAGCACCAAGGACAGGGACAGTAGTGTTAGTGTGGTCATGTTCAGCACTTAGGACAGGGACAGTAGTGTTAGTGTGGGCATGTTCAGCACCAAGGACAAGGGCAGTAGTGTCAGTGTGGGCATGTTCAGCATTAAGGACAAGGGCAGTAGTGTTAGTGTGGGCATGTTCAGACCTAAGGACAGGGACAGTAGTGTTAGTGTGGGCATGTTCAGCACCAAGGACAGGGATAGTGATGTCAGTGTAGGCATGTTCAGCACCAGGGACAGTGGTGTTAGTGTGTGCATGCTCAACAATTTGGCTTTAGTCTCCCACAGCCAGTTGCTAGGCTTGAGACCTTAAGTAAACAGTATGAGGACAGCATAACAAACACACTTGATTTTGGCTTTCAGAGGCACCCTGTGAGCCTACCTGTGAGAATGGAGGCACCTGTAAGGCTGGACAGTGTGTCTGTCCACCAGGCTATCTGGGACCCAGCTGTGCTCTAGGTATGTGGTTAAGACATTCACTAATCTACAGCTACTAACATTACTCCCAGATTGTTCATATTAGAGGTTACCAACAGCCAAACGTGAAGCTTTGGACAAGAATGTCATCTATATTATTATGGTTAGATGCATCTTAACTGACATTGTTGTTATTGTTCAACCTTGAAAAACTTTCAATTGAGGTCATACAATACAGAGCAAGTATGTTATATAAAAATCATAGCATGTTGAAATACAAATTGAAAGAGTAGAAACATCAAGTTCTTTTACTGTTACAATGACTAAAGTTATACATAATTTGTACATCATCAACCATTTAACATGGTAGAGTCTGCCTGTGAGCCACCCTGTGAGAATGGGGCCATTTGCCAGGCAGGCCAGTGCCTCTGTCCACCTGGATACCTGGGAGAGACCTGTGCCATTGGTGAGGCCAATATAAGAGAAATCGCTTTTAGCAGTATGTGAGACGTTTTACTAACGGATCCAGGTGTTTCAATGTCTTGAAAGCAACTAAGTTGATTTAAGCCTTGGCACACATATTAGAATTTTATCAACCGTTCCCAATTTTGTTAGCCTGTGTGACTTTTAGGTACATTTCATTTCCAAGTAAACAAAACTAAAGCTCCAGCTTTGTTGTTTTGTCATAATTTGTTACCCCTTAACTTAGTCATAATGCATTGGATTTTGTGCAGGGTTGTATTTGTTGGTAGTTCATGCTCCATAAAATGATTGAGAAAACTTGGATAATTGTTTTTAGGCAAAATATCCTGATCAAGACTGTAACCCAAAAAAACTTTCAGCATATGCAACTGCTTGAAGTTAAACTATGTGAAAATTATGCCCCTTTTATTTGATTCTGCAAGACAGTGTTTTGGTGACAATTATGCAATATTTCAGAGGCACCCTGTGAACCTACCTGTGAGAATGGAGGCACGTGTAAGGCTGGCGAATGCCTGTGCCCACCAGGCTACCTGGGCCCTAGCTGTGCTATTGGTTGGTAAACTTAGATCAACTTGGGATTTAATATAACAAAATGAAATGCTCCTTCAAGTTGAAAAAATGGGATGCCACTCACCATATAATGTTGGTCAGTGGTCTGGAACTTAGCAGAAAACGTCAATGTGATACATGTACTTACAAAAGGCTGCAAGATACAGCTCAATAAAGTATGCAGAGACATTTACTTTTACAGCTCTTAGAATTTGTTGTATAAGAGATTTTTTCTCCAGTTTTGAATGGACTACTATTCATCATTTACATCTACAGAGGCACCCTGTGAACCTACCTGTGAGAATGGAGGCACCTGTAAGGCTGGACAGTGTGTCTGTCCACCAGGCTACCTGGGGCGTAGTTGTGCCATTGGTGGGCAAATGTTCTGTCAAATTAATGCATAATGCTTTGTTGGTTCTATGTTGATTGAATTTTACCATCATTGTTGAATATGATCAGAAAATGTTGTTTCTGTTTTCTTATTGATGATAATTTAGGTTTACTTTATCAATATCTTGTATGCTAACTCCTCATCTTACATGTACTTCAGAGGCACCCTGTGAGCCTGCCTGTGAGAATGGAGGCACCTGTAAGGCTGGACAGTGTGTCTGTCCACCAGGCTATCTTGGGAATAATTGTGCCATTGGTGGGCCAAAGTTCTCTTCTTGCTTCCATTACATAATGCTTTCTTGCTTTGAATGCTGAAATTGCAGACAACTTCATTTCCATGTGTCCATCAAAGTGTAATGCTCCTGGCTTGCTTGTGCTTGGTAGGGGTAATACTATCCCTTAGGGTTTTCACCTTCTTGCATGCTATTGATAAAGGTTCCAGTCCTTTAGTGGGGATGTTAAGGCCCCCATAATTGAGGAGCTAGCTATAGAGCCACACCTTAGGCATGTTTAGTCTACACAAAATACTCATCAACTTGAGTAGGGATATATCAAGCAGTCTGGTGCTATGCTGCTTAAGCATTTTTGTTTTCATCTAGCTTCTACAAAATTAGATTTCATTTTCATTTCTTAGTAACACAGCACCTTCATGTGTTTGGTATATGTATGACCTTTATTGTTGTTTCTCAGAGATGGCCTGTGAACCTACCTGTGAGAATGGAGGCACCTGTAAGGCTGGACAGTGTGTCTGTCCACCAGGCTACCTGGGGTCAAGCTGCTCTATTGGTGTGTTTAATATGTTTTGAAGTAAATCCAGGCAAATCATTTACTTCCGCTAATACTAAATATGCCTTGTTAGCAGTATACTAGACATTAATGTGCAAAAGGTACATTGTACATCAGTGTCAAAGAAAGGTTTTTTGAGAAATAAAGAACACATCCAGAACGGAATGACAAGTTCTTAGTGTTGAGCATTAAGTAGTACACCAAAACATCAGTTCTGTCTTTCTTCAGAGGCACCCTGTGAGCCT